GTCATATTGTTGAACCATACCAATATTTTTTTCCCAAATGCATGTGATTTCTTATGTTTATTGAAATATATGGTTCATATTTCCAGTTATTATAGGCATAGATGGAGCATACGCAATTACACACCTAAATTCTAGGTCAGCTTTAAAGGTTGTCCCTATGTTTTCTCCTTTCTGTAGTAATAAATTATGATGGCGATAATCCTTCTTGATTTTTGAGGTTAATAAAAGATATCGCAATAGGACCCAAGTTGATTAACTATTGGAATGTTATCTCCACTTTTAGTTCTAGAAATAATACCCACAACATTGGCTTCCTCTGTTTCTAGTATCCTTTCAGCGAATCTTTGAATAGCATGGATAAACCTTTGGCATTTGGTACATATTAGAAGTACATCTAACTGAGACTAATCAACAAGACTGATACTCTGCATCTTCTTCTGGGCCATGGATTCATATACATCTAGAGGCTCGTTTTAAAAGAAAAAGATAAAAAGAAAGGAAGAAGAAAAAAATCATCTGTTGTGCAGTGGAAAGTCATTGGAAATTTAGGAGCAGCACTACTCATTTACTCTATGTTCAACACATCGATACATATACCACTTTCTGAAACAATGTAAACATGCACTTGGTCATATTTTGAAGAATTATCTGCATTACTAGAATAAAAATATAGAAATTTGTAAGTATGTTATTGGCCCTACAGTTATATATGGCCAAGTTCAAAACATATCCTCGCTTAAGGAAAATTCTACTTCCTTTTGGGAATGCAATATCTACCTCACATTCTCCCATACTACCCTCACATTTGTTCAAGTACAGGATTTTAAGATTGGGGTGTTAAAAATTATTTAATGAAGCATAAGTCTTGCTCAGAGTAGATGTACTTTTTTTCATAAAACTTTATGTAGCAGAGTTACCCCCATAGATATATTAAAATGGCCATGGGGAGGGATTTCCCTTTGGCTTTTTCTTGAGGGAGGAGTACCAAGTACCCAACCGTTAGATACTCATGCAACCTTCGAGCACCTGGGTTTGAACCTGGGTGGGTGACCTCTCAACTGTGGGGGCTCCACCGACCAAGCTATTGTTCGGTTCTCCGCACAGTTATATTAGAGATGCAAGGTTATTTTACAAATAGCCTAGTGGCAAGCCATTCTTTTAAAAAAAAAAACAACTACTGGAAGAGAAACCGAACAAAGATTAAGAAAGATAAATAAACAAAAGCAGTAGGCAAAATCCTTTTCTTTATATATTCTGACAATCATATGCTCCAAAGTTCTCCCATGGAGGCATTTTGCTCTAGCCAAGGTCCAAGTGATGCTTCCTCCATGAGAACAAACTTAGATTTGCAGTGTGGTGGCCAATTTGTTTGGAAGATGCACTTCAGCGCTTGTTTCTTTCTTTCCTTTACTACCAAACCTTTTGAGCCATTAGTCCATTATTTGGCAGCTAACCCAGTGTCCGGTGGATGGGAGAGAGTTGCGAGTAGGCCTGTTCATCCACGGTTTTGGGGGGTTTGCTCTGGTTTCTGAAACTAACCTGTCGATGGACTATCTTAGCTGAATCGGTCTGGTTTCTATGGTTTTATGGCTGATAATTGCTGGGTTGGTTTCGTTTGGGTTTTACGGTTTGGATGGGTTAAACCGTATGCATACACCAGAAGCATCTAGATGAAGCTCGCGTCCAGCAAGGGGCACTTGAACTTCTCTGATTATTCCTCTATTCATCTGTTGTTGCAAGTCATAGAGAGGAGTGACATCATGGATGCCACCACCAAACAAGGGAACGAGTCCCACCGTATATACCTTCTCTGGCTGAAACAGGGCATGCCACGCCACCATGGTTGCTGCCTCCGTTTGGGGTGAGGAGTGGTTCTATTGGTGTAGCTATCAAGAACCAGACTGATCTGACAAGAAAAGAACAGCCAGAGCTGAAGAACAGAGAGGGGAATGCCTTAACTGGCAGATAACTGAACTGATTGAAGGATTCAAGTACAGGACAGCTGCTTTACTCGACTACTACTACAGAACTAGGGCTCTTCGATTAAGCCTTACAGCCAACACTCAAGCTCCTTATAGACTGAGGCATCAATGACTACATTAATTAAAAGGTAAACACTTTTAACTTCTGAAAAATAAGAAAGTAAACATAGTTTGGTGCTAAGCAAAGCAAGTGACTCAGTTGAAGCAAATTTGTTGGATAGCAATCAAAATGCTGAAGAACAGAGTCTTTGAACTTGAGCATTCAGCGCTGACTTCCTTTCTGACGAAACTGAATGAACTAACTGAAGAAAGTTCAGATAATGATACTGACAGTAGCTAATGGCCATATCAGGACTCGAGCTCAGTTAGCAAAACTGTGTTGGACAGCAAATTAAACTGGGGCTTGCACATCCCGAGCGGCCTGTTCTTTGTGATCAAGAGGAGACGGCGCAACATATTCTTACCAGCTGTGTTTTTTGCTAGGCAATTGTGGCATAATTTGCTGGGCCCTATTGGCCTCCCCCCAACACACTTCACCTGGGCGCCATGATGAGTGCTTCGCTGTTTGGTGGAGGAAAGGTAGCCAAAAATTGGAAGGCCTCAAAGAAAAGGGTTCAACAGTGTTGTGATCTTGGGAGCTTGGACCCTATGGAATCTCAGAAATAGATGTGTTTTGTATAGTGCCTCTCCATCATTGCCGGCAGCCCAACACTTTTTTTAACGAAGAGCTGCGGATGTGGTGTTTTGCTGGAGCTTGGAAATTTCAGGATTATTCTTTGGTCGTGTGGAGGTTATAGAGTAAATTTCAGCATTTTTTTTATCACAACCTTCTTTTATCTCCTAGTGGAGGCAAGTATGTTGCCTTGTACGGGGTTTCTTCCCCCTCCTTTCTCTTTAATATAAAAGATGCACCGCTCTCCTGCGTGTTCAAGAGGGAAAAAAAAGGACTTGAGCTCTGTCATGGAAATCAGATCAGTTAGGTTGCATTGTGGATGCTACATCAAGCCGAGACGGTAACCTCCGGCATGGATGACAGCCTTGGCCCTGCACAAATTTCCCTGTGTCGTCTATCTGGACCTCCCTGCTTGGCATGGATAGACTACACTGTACTCTGCGCTTCCTCATCTAGATTTGCACCACTGTTGATGACTCTCACCTGCAGCGATGTTCCCACTTCTTGTCGACGATTGCACATTTGTGGTTTGCCTGGTGGTGCTTGAGCTCAACCAATGTCTCTCACTCTTCCGCCGTTTGCTGCGCGTCAACTGCATTCGTCACGCCGTGGTATACAGTTGTGACTGACGCCATGAGCACATGCACAGATTGGTATGGTTGAGCAGGTTTGCCGGTTTCTAACCCATGTCGAACCTAACCAGTGCCCTCACATATGAGTTTCAAACCAGAAAACCAGCTAACCTGCGAAACTGCTTCTACTGGTCCTGTCTGGTTTGGATTGGCAAGTTGAATGGTTTAAGACCAAACTGTGAACAGGGCTAGTTATCAGGAAGCAGTTATTGACTACTGTTGCTGACCAGCGAGCAGTTTCTGATTTTCCGTGTGTTTCTGAGCTCCAGTTACACATTGGGGTCAACTATTAGTTTGAGAATCCTCTTCCATTAGCCATTGGGCCGTCTAAATTATGCTTATGTAAGGCAAGCCGGATGAAGAACCGGGTGTAGTAATAGAATCTTATATTTGTTCTGGTGTGGTGTACTTAATACTTGCATTGTTAGAATGGCAAATGTCGTTACATTATTTAAATTGCAATATACCATGGCAATTAGTGAATTCTCCCGTTATGCATTTGATATAGGAAGTTGTCAATGTACATAATTCCCTGACAGATTTGCAGTTCAAACAAGTTTTGAGACATTGTATGTTTGTGGCAGGTCCTAAATGAAGCTAACCTTACAAATGCTGTCCTTGTACGGTCAGTCCTAACACGTAGTGATCTTGGAGGAGCGATCATTGAAGGTGCTGACTTCAGTGATGCTGTTCTTGACCTACCACAGAAACAGGTACATAGTTACTTAAAATGACAATGCCATTACATATCGATGCTGTTATTACATATCGATGCTGTTATTCTTGGAGATTGTCAGGTTCCATGGTCAATGTTTGTGTGATCTGTTGATTTCTGATTTGCAGGCATTATGCAAATATGCAGGTGGGACCAACCCCATAACAGGGGTAAGCACCCGAAAAAGCCTAGGATGTGGCAATAGCCGTCGAAATGCATATGGCAGCCCTTCATCCCCTCTGTTGAGTGCCCCGCCACAAAAGCTTCTTGACCGAGATGGTTTCTGTGATCCAGCTACTGGTATGTGCGATGCAAACTGAGAGAGAATTGATCCAACATGGAAACTGGTCACTAGATGGTGTACATACATTGGAGATTTAGTAAGAGCAGAATAGTGCAGAGAAACCAGTCGTTTTTCTTCTCTTGCAATTGTTGTAACGTTGCAACGGAATCAGGTAAAATTCAGGATGTACATGAGATATGGGCGCTGAGTACTGAATGCCATATGTAGCATAGTATGCATATGAAATAGATCATATCATGTGCTTCTTGCTCGAAAGTGGCCCCTGCTTTGTTCTAAAGCCAACATATCCAAAAGCAGTTCAACAGAGGAGTGTCTCAGTAAATAAACTTTCCACTCCATTTCACAAACATTGCTGATGCATCAGCAGCAACCAGAGCTGCCGTTCTGGATGTACCGTACAAATAGACGTCCATCGACAGCTTGACTATTTTTACAAATTGTCAAGTCAGTTGCTAAAGCTCCTTAGCTTCAGCTTCCAGCTAGCTACCTTATTAACACCAGGTCTTGAGACCTGATGTCAATAACATATATAACCACTTTGGTTACATGTTTATTATGCATATATGTATATTTTCATGTGCCATGACACGCATTGCATGCTATATATTTGTACACTAACTCAGGTTTGGGAGGCATATATTGTATATATGAATTGTATAGGGCATCCAATGGATTCGTGTACGTTCTGCAGTAGCTATTTCCACATGTTGGCCTCGCCGCCAGCAGAGGCAGATGTGGAGGCGTAGTCCAGTGCTTCTTCCGGTTGCTTGTTCTCAGCTTGAAATGCCTGCGCCGGATTGGAGTAACCGGCCTCTTTCGCTGTGCCATCGCCGTGGCTGAAGAGCTGAGACGCGACGAACTTGTCGAGCACTCTCCAATCGGTGACCGAGTCGTCCATGTAAGCGGCCTCCATCATGGGCGGTTGCTGGCCTGCGTACCCAGAGGCCTCGTCGGGGGACTGCAGGCTGCAGCTGCCATGGGCGGCAATGTAGGCCGGAGGAGGCTTGGGGCTCTCCAACTGAGGGAGCTGCTGCAAGAAGGCGTCTTGGCTGGGCAGAAGGTGATGGTACTCCAGCTCCGGCTTGCAGTGGTAGAGCTGCTGGCCGCCGCTGTACACCGCGTTCGGCGGGTGGTGGTGGTGGTGCATCAGCTGCCTCGGCGAGCCAATGAGGTCCGGCATGAACCCGCCGGCGACGTGGTCATCGAACCACGGCGCGCCGTCGGCCAATCTCCGCACGGTCGCCACTCGCTTCTTGAACACCCTGCAGACCACCCATCCTTCCTCCTGAACCACCATTCGTGCATGCACGGGCAAGCAGAGAAGCAAATGTTGTCAGCTGAGATGAATGGCATGCTCGATCACATCGATCGACGATTTGTTGTTCAGCTAGGCAGGCAGGCAGGCAGGCTTACGTACACGGGCGGTCCCGTTCTCGGTGGTCTCCAGGCGGTACTCGTGCATGATCCAGTCGGACTTCTGGCCGTTGGGCGCGCGGCCCCTGTAGAAGACGAGCGTCTTCCTCATCCCGACGAGGCAGCTCTTGGTGTAGATGGGCTTGTCGCGCCCCGTCGCCTTCCAGAAGCCGGCGGTGGTCGCCCGGTTGGTGCGAGAGCCCGTCGGGTACTTCTTGTCCTTGTGGCTGAAGAAGTACCACTCGTTCTGCTCCTCCATCCCAATCTTGCACTTCTCTGCCCATTCCAAATGCGTAATGTCAATAGATTATTGTGCGTCTATTTAGCACGCGCCAACTCCGTTGCATGAACTACTACTTCTTCCAGAATGTAGTTCTTACCTTGGAGATCCCAGGGCTCAATTTTGTACAGATCGACGTCTTTTATGACGTCAAGGTCGATCTTGTTGGACGCCACCTTCTTCCTGAGGTAGTAGTCGACGAGTTCCTCGTCGGTGGGGTGGAAACGGAATCCAGGGGGGACATGAGAGAAAGAGTCCATTCTTTCAGCGGATCCCCAGTAACTGCACACGGGGTAACATGACAAAGATTCAGTACAAGGTTTCATCAGCAATTTAAACATGCCAGTGCCATGCAGTTCAACTAGCTCAAAGCCACGTAAAAGGTCTTCCTGTCATACGCCTACTAGAGTATGTGCATCCAAATATCCAATGACGCTAATAAGAAGCCATAGGAGAGAAAATTGAGTTATATATTAGCACCAACATACTAGGTATGTAAATGTAGGCGCCAAGACTAGATGACACATCAATCCTAATGTTTGCTACTGGTGTTAAGACTATTTTTGGTGATACAAGTAATATACTTTAAACAATCTTAACGCCCACTAATAAGGGGTGCAAAGGATTAAGTTAGGACCTGTTTGGATGCATATGACTAATTTCTAGTCCTAGCTCATTCAAATGGGGGCTAGTAGGTAAGCTAGTTTTTTTTAGCCAAACCCATTAGCTAGTTGTTGTTATAGCCAACTAGCTGGCAAACCCTAGCTAATTTGGGTTAATTTGTAGTCCTGACTAATAACTCTAGCTCTAACTAATCTAAACAGACCCTTAATAATGCTGATAGAGAAGAAGCAATGCTACATGCAACTAACCTAGCACCCAAATCAAGGGATAACATATGTATATGCTAGTCATCTTATATCTAGGGTGGGCACACATACCATGATCATCATATACACTGAACCATGTCTATACAGACACCGGTTTGAAGCACAGTTGGCACATATCATGAGCCAGGGGCAGATCCATGTGCGACCGTACCCACGAAAAATCAGAAAAACAGTAATTGTGTTCAATTTTTCACCATATATGCACTCATACGGTAAAAATATATGCACCCACAAGGCTAGCGCACCCCCCTTGATTTTGTTCTAGCTCCGCCACTGTCACGAGCACAAATCTAACCATTTCAACTCTGAGCATTATTCATACATATAGAAAGTCCAATATTATTTTATTGTCCCCAAATTTATTTGCTACTCCATATTCAACTTTGGTATTGGTTTAAGATATATGTAGGTACATGTTTGAGTTTCCAACAAATGGATCAGAAGTTTTGGTTTCATTATTTCCCCTGGGATGATATTTTCAGGGGGAAGCGAGTAATCATGGCAGTAGATAAAAAGTACATACTTTCATCATGTATACGATTACCAGATTAATTCATTGGTTCGCTTGGTTCCTTTTGTGCCAAGGAAGCTAGCTTATTAGTGCACATGCGGACCTTTGTGCTGAAAGAAATGTATACTAACACATGATCTAAACAACATGAATATGCATCAGCACAAATGAATTTCTTTGCCCCATATGATGATAGATTATATGGCTAAATAGTTCTAAAAATATTAAATCAATTAATTGGGAATGTTCATGTTAATACATATTTGGACAAATGAAAATACACCGAAATGTACCTACATAGCTTCAAAATTGTGAAAAGAAAAGGCACATGCGCACACTGGCACACACACATTTACAGAAGATAGAGGGTCCATTCTGACATAAAATAACCTATTAATATGTCAGCCTAAATTGAAAACCTCCATGAAACAAAAGAGGGTACGGTAACGAGAAAAAAAAAAGAAAAGCGAATTTGGTTCCTTCAAACATTGGAAGTTATTTGTAGAAATTTCAAACAGGAACTAGGACTAAACCTCTTGTATCAATCTTACAATTATTACATTTTTGTCTACGTTTACTTAATTCTACATGAACCTCTCTGTTATCTAATAACCCTAGCTAATTTTACGCAACGGAGAGATTAAACACTCTAGGCCTTATTTGGGGTACATGAATTTGGATTTTGGAGTGGCTAGCATAAATACCAATGTACCCCCCTCACAACAACAACAACAACAAAAATCTTCAGAGAACACAATGTACCCAAAATCCCAAATAATTAACCTACATAGCTAGTATTGCTGGGAACTAGCAGTGTCTGGCACTGCACTACACAGCAGCATCGATCCAATTAAGAACTAAGCAAATGAAAGAAACAAAGAACAGTGCACGTACTATATGTATGAACAGGAAGAGGTGATCGAAGCCTCACCAAGCTTGTGCGCCAAATCCCAGTTCGCTCAGAGTCCACCGATCGAGAGCCAATGACGCTGATCAGAGCACACTCTCAACAAACTCACAGCTCCTTTGATTCTCCTTCACCTGGACAGTAGCCATGCACCTGGCCAACCCTCTTGATGTACCCTTGCTTGGGCCCCGGACGAGATGGATGAGGCGATCAGCTAGGCACGCTGCACGCAGTCAGTAACCTACGACCAGGATGCACACGTACGGATCTAGAACACAGCGAAATTAAAGCTGAAGACGGGAGGAGAGGAGAAGAACATGCATGTGTATGGTTATTCGGGGCTTACCACCAAGCTGTAGGTCGCCTCCGCTTTATATACCAGCAGAAGCAGCTGTCCACAAGGCCAGGAGGCTAGCAATAGCAGCAAGGCAGCACGCTGGATCGATCGCTTTCACCGCCCAGGCCGGGGAATGAGAGGGATAGGGACGACACGGAGACGGCCGGAGCGGAGGCCGGGTTGACGCGGACCGGTGGGGCGGAGGGTGTGCGCGGAAAGCGCGGATGGATTGCGGGCAAAGTCTGGGCGCAGAAATCCTGGGATGCCTGGATCTGCCTGTGCCCCCCTTTTCCGATTGGCCGCTCTGCCCGCGTTCCTTTCCCCCACTGTAACCGCCACCACCTCCACCAGCCACCAACAGCGACCGCCCGCGCTAGCCAGCAGCTCCACCTCGATTGCCCTCGTCGTCACCTCGATCGCGCGCGTGTGGCGCCGGTGGCCCGGCCGGCTTGCACGTCTCTGTCTAGCTAGCCGCGTCCCGCGTCCCGGCCCTCTGGCAAGAGAGTGAGACGCCGCCGGGCCTCCGGTACCGGGAGCGCGGTGTGGGATGGAGTGGAGTGGAGTGAAATGTAACGGGGGACGCGGAGTTGCGCCCACTTATATACGGTGGTGGCGCCGGAGAGAGGGCCGGTGCAACTAGAAGCTACCTTAGCTGGAGTCCTGGAGGCGGAAACACCACTACTGCTAGCTAGTGCTCTCAGTACTCAGCTTGGTTGGCTCTGCGAAATGCCACATGCACCAGGCACAGGCAATCGAGGTAGCACTCTCCCTGGACCTGGATATAGGCTAGGAGGAGGCAACTATCTGAGCCGCTGAGGTCGATCGGTGCCGGACTGCCGGCGGCTTCGTTCTCCCGCCGTTGTTCATAGCATCCCGCGTTAGTAGTTAGGGGTAGGACATGCACACCGTGGCCGATCGAGTCCATGCTTCATTGCTTCTACTGAGTATATCTTAGTTTTCAGTTCCACACATACTTCCATCTTGATCACGGTCTCTCAGACGATCTGCCTGGACGATCCACATCCTAGCCGACCGACCTAGTAGTATATTTTGATGCGACCCTTCTCCAAATGGAAAAATCCTGTGTAAATGAAGCCAAACATCTTATCCCTTGTCCATAACCTCTTATCAGATCGATGCTGTTATGCCGCAATTTAGTATACTGGTAATCAAGTACTAGGATCTAGGATACAAGTAATATATAATCAGTACTGCAATTTAATTTATTGTTATATAATTTCTGGAATTCTATCTGGTCCATTGTGATGCTGGATGCTGCCGGTGTAATCAGTACTGGAATAATAGCAATCCAACCACTTGGTGAATTGAAACTAACCTCAAAGACTCAAAGCAGCATATGCAGTCACCTACCATGGCAGCAGCAGCAGTACGTAGTCGAGGACTACTATGTAACAAGGGTACGTGTGAATGAGTATGTGTCGACGACACAACAAAAGAAAGAAAGAAAGGATGAAGAGAGCTGAATAAGAAGCATGTCGTCTGTCGACGACTATATATTGTTTTAGCTATAGTAAAGGATAAATAAACAATGTCTATTTGTGAGGCGAGAATCGAAGAGGATGGGGGCGCATGCCGAGGCCGGCAGGAAGAGTCGTGAAGCCGTGGCGGCGGGTGGTCCGGCGTGGGCTCGACCTGATCATTAGCAAACCTTGCTTTTTCTCTCTTTCCGTAGATAGCTTCCTTCAGCTTCTTCCTCAATACTGCTCTGATCAATGACCTCTATTCCCTACTACTGGAGCTGAGGCCTGAGAGCAGTTGCTGATGGTGGTGATGAACTCGATCTGGGCTCCACACACGCACGAGCGCGCGAGGCTAGCTGATTGTCCCTTTCGCAGAACGGGAAAGCGATTTTCTGGAAGATCTCGGCCCCAAGGGCATGTTTGGTTCCTTTAGCGATCCTACTAAAGTTTAGTGATCCCACTAAAGTCTAGTAGCACACTGTTTGGTTCTATTCACTAAAAACCACTAAAGCAGTAAATAAAGACCATATTACCCCTAATTAATGCACAATTCTTTGCCCCCCGCCCTGATCCCACTCCAGCGACTTGGCTGCCCGTGTTCCCGCGCTCCCTTCCTAGTTCCCGTGCTTCCAACTACGTTCCCGTTGTGTTGCCTCGCTGCTGGCCGACGCGTCGGGGACAAAGCCGTAGTCGTCGGCGGCGGTGGTGGCGGCGGCGGCGGAAGCAGAGAAGGTGCGAGCGGAAGAAGAAGTGGATTGAGAAAAGTAGTCGTGGTAGCCGCGTCCCTACCCGGCCATTGTCGATCTGGCATATGGAGGAGGAGGGCCGGCGGCGGGGACGTGGAGAGGAGCAGCAAACGCGGTGGCGCGCAAGGAGCGTATGCGAGCGAGATGGGAGCGAGGGGGAGCGACCGCGGGCCGCGAGTGGATGCGGGGAGGGGGACCGCGAGCGGATGCGCGAGGATGCGGGAATTAATGAGGGGTATCCCCTGTAAACTTTACACTTTTGTCACTTTTAGCAGCCCCTTGATTACTAAAGCCACTAAACTTTAGTGACCCTTTTAAAGGGGTGTTTGGCATTTAGAAGGGGTGAACCAAACAGGCCCTGAGCACTAACGTCGTCGTCGTCGGTAAG